CTCTCACTTAAAAACCAATTTCAAACACAAACTATATACAGTTACAATAGTAAAATTTAAACCCACATTTTTGATTTTCTGAGATATCAATAAACTTATCAAACCCACAGGAGAAGACCCCACCCTATCTCTGACTTCCAAGATTGTTTTGCTAGTCAGCTTTACATGGCTGTGGAATGTGTTTATACCAACAGGAAAAACAGATTTTCCTAAAAAAACTTATTACAGCTATTTGATCTTGGCACCATGCATGTATGTAGTCTGTTGTAGTTTCTTTGTGGCAGATATATTTATTGTGTTATCAAATTAAATATTTGAAAGCTACAAGGGTCTTTTTTTTCTTCGGAGATGCAAGTTTGTTAGACACAACAAGGCCTATGGAAGAATGTCTTTTATTTTTACTTAGGTGCATGTGAGCTTGATTATCCAATAAATATTACAAATACTTGTTTATATGTATATATATATATATATATATATATATATTATTTATTGTTATATATTATTTAACAAAAATAGATAAAATATAGAAATTAAAAACTTACCAGCTTAGCCTACCAAAACTTCATTAAAGTTAAAATTTTCCTTACCTGAAAATGTATTTCAGATAGATACTTACCTCTCTAGACCACTAAGAGCTATTACATTGCATACAGCTACCTTGCAATTTTCTGCAAATGCCACAAGTGTTCAACATACTCCCACCCCTACACGTGTCAACATGTATTCAGCCAGCCATTGTCATAATTGTCATAATGTTGTATCCTTCCATCAACATGAGTGCGACATAACCTCCAAGTACAGTAATCACTATGAACACAAGCATATGATCGTAGGCTTATTCTTGAAGAAGCAAATGAAATGCACTGGAAGTGGGAGGAATGATGGGAGGGAGTGCAAAGAGTATCTAAGTGAAATACATTTTCAGGTAAAGAAAATGTTAAATTCAGAAACTTTACTCACTTCTATGCATCACTAACAGCTAGAACCCCACATTGAAGATGGTGTCAGGGTCAGTGCTGATCAATTTCAAAGATGAGCTTCTTTCTCAAAAAGGGACAGAAAAGGTAAGCCCATGGGGTGTGATATCCATGAGACCAGGGGTCACCTACTGCAGCAGCACCTAGTCAACAACTACATCCTTCTCAAGCAGAACTCTTTGCTCAATATTTCTTTTTGTACAGAGATTGTAGAGCAAAGCATGTCAGGAAAATCCATTGCTAGTGGTTATATGTTGCCAAGGTGAGCAGAATGTTAGAATGTGTACTGTGGCTAGGACTTTAGGCAGTTCCATCTTGGACAAATACTTGCACAAGATAAATACTATAATGACACATAGGGGAAGGAAGAGACTACACCTGCATCCCAAGGCAAATCCAACTCACATCTGGAACTGCTTGGGAAATATTGTAAAAGGATGTACTGTACTCCAAGTAACATCCCAGTTATAAATCTCAAATGAGGGATGAGCCCAAACAATCTTCTACTGGGA